CCATCCATCCATCCATCCATCCATCCATCCATCCATCCATCCATCCACATCATCTTTAACTTATTTCTTGTGCAAAAGTGACTAGGTTAAAAATTTACTATAAAGCATCTTTTTAAGATTTAGCTTGTTTTAGGTGGCTGAGATATGCACTAGAATAGGCCCTGTAGTTGTTAGCTTGACTTCTGAGTTAAACATTTTTCCCTTATCGTCAAAGTTGAGATTAGTGTAACTGAAACTACTGCAGGTAAGATACTGATAACTACTCTAAAGACCTTATTACTATCTATCTAAAGTTATTAGAGAGTCACGGCAAGATACGAACAGCAGCTTCTGTGGAATCACGCAGAGTGACCGTTGCGCATCACCAGCATGGGAAGAGGGCATCTTTTAATTAAATAGAAGCTGGTAACATGAGATAAACTGCTAGGAGTGACACGAAACACAGCAGGCAAACATGGAGACACCGCAGTCTCCTCATTCAGACTCTTCCTCTGCCTTCAACCTTTCTTCTCATCCTGTGGATGATATTGTCTGTGTTTGTCATGTCAAGATTGCGTGGCTCGTTTCCAAGAGGACTATGCCAATGTCTCGCCTTTGAAGTTTTAATTGGATGTGCTGGAAGCCATCTTTGTTTATATATATATATATATATATATATATATATATATATATATATAAAGACATGGTGTGTATATCTCGCCTAAATTACACCACAGATTATGTATCAAACAACTAGTCTCACACACAAGCACCCCCCCCCCACACACACACACACACACACACATTTACAAGAACTTTTATACTTTTAAACTGGCTCCTCGGACTGGTGGGGTCTTTTGGATGGGGAACGAAGTGTTTCAACATGAGGAAATCATCCAGAGGTCTTGACTTAACTGTTTTGGATTTTTCTACCTGAATTCTTGAGCATGAACTTTGATGTTTTGAAACACTTTGTCCATGGCTGCCTCAAACAAGTCGGCAGGATAGAGGGAAGACTCCAGAAACCATCTTAGCGCCATCAAAACTGGTTGACCCACTATGTGAAGGTGCTACTTATAAGACTGAGTTTGTTTTGGCTCCTTGGACTGATGAAGTCTTCTGGATGAAAGACGAAATGTTTCGACGTAAAGACACCGCCCAGAGGACCTGACTTAAATGTGTTGGATTTTAAATTTAACCATAACCTTCGCTTACATTAAAAATAAAGCTGCTCTCTTTCTGCTCTGGGGCGGCTGTGGCTGAGTGGTTAGAGCAGTCGTCCTCCAATGCAAGAGTTGCGGGTTCGATTCCACCATCAGTCACATGCTGAAGTGTCCCTGGGCAAAACACTGAACCCCTCAATGCCTCCGATGTGTGTCCCATCAGTGTATGAATGTGATAAAGCACGGATTATTGTTTGTATAGATAAAGTAAAGTGATGTATGAATTAGTGAATGAGGGCACGGATTGCAGTGTAAAGAGCTTTGAGTATCTTGATAAGATAGAAAGATGCTATATAAGTACAGTCCATTTACCATTCTCTCTAAAATCAGTATCTGAAGTTTTGAGTGGTGCTAGTTTGCAGAAGAGCATACAATTTTTAGTTCCACTGATTTTCTGCTTAAAATAAAACAATAAAATTGAGGTCAATTGAAAAACTCAGACGCTTAAGTGAGTTGTTCATTGTTGTTCAATGAAGGGCAGCGTAACTCAGACAGTTTTTCCAATTACATAACATCGGTGTGTGTCTAAATACTCATTTGCCTTTTCTAATTCAAGGTGACTGTTTCAATAAGCGTTCCAGGTTAACTCAGTCTAGCAACAGACAGCTCGATGAACTGGTCTGTTCGTCATGTAGATCTATGTGTTTCGGCGTTAAACTCACATTCTGTTCAACTGTGACACAATTACGCAGCATCAAGTGAAAATCAGTGCTGTTTCACGTACATTTGCCAGGAAAACATATAAGGAGACCAAGTCAGCTTCTAAGTGATATATGGAGACAGCAGGAGATTAAAAACAGTAGAAATGTGAATTACTATTTGAGTGTGGAAGAGAGTTTGAGGTAAAGACGGATCAGCAAGAGGTATTACAACTTTTCAAGATCAAAAACATGAAAAATGACATTCTGCTTACCTAGAGTGACCTCCGTCTGCATAGGCATAGACAGTGCTGGGTGCTTAACTTCACAGCTGAATAGGGCATCATTATCCAGCTGAGGGTTGAGGGTCCAGGTGAGTCTAGCCTGCACCACCACAGAGCCGTCGCTCTGGGGGATGTGAGTGTGGCTAAAGTAGTACAAAGGATCCGTGGTGTGCACCCAGCGGGGAAACTCCCTGCTCACCACTGTCTCTGGGATGACCTCCGTTGCAGGACTCGGCTCGTTGGCCTGTTGGCCCTGAGTGTGCAAACGCTGAGGGCTCTCTGTGTACAGGCGTGCTGATCGGCCTTCAGGATCAAGAAGGGAGAGGGACCGATGCAGTTTAGTGTCATCAAGGTCCCTGCCGATGAGTGGCCGGGCTCCTCGTACTCCTGCTGAGCCTCCTCCCCTCTCGATGGTGGAGGGTTCGGTGTAAGATATTACTTCTATTAGCTCACCATCTCGCTTAAAGTACACCTGATGAGAGAATTGAAATGGAAAGATTGAGAGGACAGCAAGAAAGCGTGGGCAAAAAGGACATTGATTTTTTTTTTATATTTTCAGAAACATAAAACATGTCATGGCAAGCAAGTAAAAACATAAAAACAAACTAAAGATGTAAGCTCCCATTAACATTCAGCCCTTGTTATTAAGGATGCGGTCGAGCTCTGTTGCATCCTGCTTAAAAATAACAGGCTGTGTGATGCTTCTACAACTTGACAATGGCTTCGCTTTACCTAATTAAATCCACTGGACATAATTAAGGGAGCGCACACCTGCTTTTCAAAAGCTCTAATGGTTAACAGTGTATACCGCTGTAAACAAAGCCATGACATCTAGATAATTGTCCATAGGTCTGTGAGACAGGATCAAGCCGAGGCACAGGACTAAAACAAGAAATGTCCACACCTAATAATACGCTGGACTTTGCGACTGCCAAGACAAACAGCAGTGCAACACTCCACTAACCAGTTCTTTATGTTAGAGGAACAAGACAGAGACAATTTTTTGCTGGAAAAATAACAAAACAAACAAAAAAAAACCCAGCTTACTGAGAGTCTGGATCAATCAGATTATGAGAAACAAAATCCTTTCATCTGATGAAAGAAAGATTAAACTATTTTGCCGCAGTTCTCATCAGCATGTGTGAAGTAAACCAGACACCGAACACTTTTGTCAATGCCGTTCCCTTAGTTAAACGTGGACGTTTGCTGTCCTTTAAAAAGCATGCTTTATTTTATTTTCGATGGCAGAGGCTAGAAAAGAAATAAAAGTGGTTTGAGACGATAGATCTATCAAAAAAGGATCTCAAACATGCAATGAAGATTTGGATTTCAACTAAAGAGCCAGGCACCTCCCACCGAGAGAACATGAGTAGCCTTGGCCAAACCAGTAAAGTACCTGAAGTCACCCAGAATTTAATCTACAAAACCGCTTCTGGAGAAAATTTTAAAATAACTGTGTATTGATATGATTATTTCATCAAGGTGTGACTTCCAAGACAACAAAAACACTCTAAACTCTCAATAATAATAACCAATTTACAATAACATTGCATAAGCCACATCTGTGACAGCTAATATGTTTATTGCTGCTGCACTATGTGGCTGTATCATGTATGTCACTACCTTACCATCATAATTCAGTTCAATGTTACTCACTTCCAGTGCAATAACATGTCAGTCACACAACCTGTGTAGTTTATGTAAATTATGTGCAATATATATAATGTGCATTTAATCTTGTATTACTACCTTGAAATACTTATTCCTACAAATTCATCCTACTTGCACGGTTATATTCTACCATGTTGTTGTTTACCATTTTTCTTCTGGACCTTGTAAACGTTATATTTATTTTTTCACTTTTTGGTACTTTATTTTGTACTCTTATTGCATGCTTTAGTATTTCTTGTTTGTTTGTACTTTGTTTTTAGCGAGTCGGATCGGTTCTTCTTATCCTGAACATTTCATTGTATTGTTGACCTTGTGTTAACCTGCGTATGACAAATAAACACAACTTGAACATGTTTACATGAAAAGTCTGTTACATTTTTTTCAGTTGTCTCTCAAGATGACTTGAGGTTGAGTCTAAAGTTGGTGAAAAACAAGTAAAGAGTGAAAGGTCTCGATTTAAACAGTTTAGAACATTTGACACATTTTACAGTAAGCTGAGGACAATACAAGAAAAGTGAAGTATATGGGGAATAAAAGAAGCACAAATAATGTGAACTTGAAATATTCTGGAACTTTACATCAACAAAAATAATCCAACATTAGATTTAATTCATGTAAATCTTGAATATAACATTATTTCTTCAGATACACTTTATCCTCCCATTTAACTGTTTTGTCTGTGTTGTGGTGTCCTGGAAGAGTTCGATAAGCCTTGCTCATAAACCAAACCTTTTCATGTGCATGAAATAGAAAATATTTAGGTGTTTTTCCAGGTGCCGAGTCTTTTTAGTGTTTTTGGCAAAAAAAAGCGCAAGATTATCTTCATTGTTAATTAATAAAACCACTGTCTCGTGTGTTGTTGCTGCCACACAAATAGTTGCCCAGAATAGCTCAGGATTTCCAGCTCCAATCCCCAATTTTATTAACATCGCTGCCTAATCTCCTGACAGGGAATGCAGGCTCCATTTCAGCAAATAGCCAGAAGATATTGGCACTGAAATAAGGTTGTATAGTCTTTGCTTCTAGTAATGCTTTTTTTTTTTTTTTAGTAGAATGTGCTTTTTCTGTGAAGTTTGAACAGAAGAAAATTCAATACATACATGAAGTTCATTCTGGGACATTTGACCATCAGAATTCAGTTTCTTTAAGATCAAATATTCTTTAAATTTTGCATTTCACAAGAATACATCTTGATCTTTGGTAAACAGGTTGTTTAAGCATTCTATATACCATCTTAAGATGTGATGCCTCTAGCAAACATTTGCAATAAATACAGTACTCTGGGTTTGAAAATATGCAGTGTACCTATAAAAATATATTAACCATATAAATTAAAGTACACTCTGCACTCTCCTTCAAAAACATTTTGTATTCGGAGCTAAATAAAAGCTTTAAAGTTGCCTACAGATACAAGTTCAAATCATTTTTTTTTTTTTAATTTTCAAAGAGATTGTTTTTTTTCTCCCCAAATTGATGTGGCCTGTGGAGACACATTCATGTTTTTTTTTTTTTTTTAGCAGCTTGAATCGTTAGATTAATTAATTGCAGATTAGCCATTGCTGGTCTCAGTTTTTTTGCATAATTGACACCATAAAGGCTCCATCAGTGAAATGGGTTGTATCTTTAGACTGGTTCTTTGTTTTTTTTTATTTGAATTTGCTATAAATATTGTCATCAGTACAGGCATGAACTTACACATGGGGGTAAGTATCCTTGCCCAAAGCCAGTCTACAACACTTTATTGTTAGTGACAGAAAAATTATGACCTCTTAATTGCCTTTTTTTTAACCAAGCATATTTTATTTTATCCTTTTTTGCCATTGAGTGGATATCCGGCATCCTCAACTTGCCCAAAGTTCTTTTATAGGACATTTAATAGAACATATATACAGTTTAAAACCATTTCATAAAAACTACAAATAAAATAAAAAAGGCAAAACAAACAAACAAAAAAAAAAAAAAACATAATGAACTCCTACAGTTGAACCCATCACCCTTTGGAGTACAAGTTAGGAGTCATCAGGACTCTGTATCACAGAGCAGACAGCGTCCCCACTAGCTCGGGAGCCAGGCAGAAGGAGAAATCCCACACAAAACAGGCTCTAGAGCAATGTGGATATCCTAACTGGGCCTTCCTGAAAGCAGAGAAGAAACCCAAACAGGACTCCAGTCAGCCATCAGGTGAAAAGGAGGAACCCAGACCCAGACCAGTGGTCATTCCGTATGTTGAGGGAGTATCAGAGAAACTGAGACGTTTATTTTCTAAACATAACGTCCCAGTGGCTTTTAAACCCCAAAATACATTACGGCAAAGACTGGTTCATCCCAAAGATCCAGTCCCCCGGCACAAACAGAGTAATGTTGTGTATGCTGTTCAGTGTCAGGAGGGCTGTGATCAGTCTTACATCAGGGAAACTAAACAGCCACTGGCCAAAAGGATGGCCCAGCACAGAAGATCAACATCATCAGGCCAGGACTCTGCGGTCTACACTCATCTCCAGGCCAGCGGTCACTCTTTCAGGGATGAAGATGTGCACATCCTGGACAGAGAGGAACGATGGTTTGAGAGAAGAGTAAAGGAGGCCATCTTTGTGAAAAGAAACCGTCCATCATTAAACAGGGGTGGAGGCCTCCGGGTTCAACTGTCCCCCTCTTACAATGCTGTGATTGCTAGTATCACTTAGCCCTCTGTGAATAGTAAGCAGCCATCAGTGTGCTAATGATCCATTGTTAGGCTGATGGTCCTTCTTGACCATGTGATCAGCTGGTTTTGGTTGTCAGCAGCAAACTGGTTGATCCACTCTGAGAAGGTGCTATTTAAGAGACTGAGCTGAAAACAGCACCTCAGACTGAGGAAGTCTCTTGGATGAGAGATGAAACGTTTCTATATTTTTTTGCTTTGTTTTGTTTTTTGTTTTTTGTTTTTGAATGTCCAGAGGACCAGATTGAACTATTTTGGATTTTTCTACCTGGATTATTGAGCATGCATCAGGATGTTTATTTATTCAGGTTAATCCCATTGAGCCTTGGGGACTCATTTACAAGAGATACCTGATTTTAACAAAGAATGATGACAACAGTAGACAACAAAGACAACAACAGGCAATCATACAAATTGAGATTTTTTTTAAACAAGTGCAAATAAAATGGTAATTAAAAAGATAAGTAACAAAACAAAAACAGCTAGATTGTAAGACGAAGTAGAAAACTAAAAACAGGAACATGTCTGCATTGCTGGAGGACAAACTGACCACACTTTTCACTCTACTACGGTCTTTACTTACTCTGCTCAGCCTGTTTTGTATTTGTAATTATTTTTCTATCCTTAACATGTGTTGTTTTTTTTTGTCTTTCAGGTACACCTGGACCTATATCTGGACCTACCATTCTGTGTTTGTTTGTCTCTCATTCCTGTCCTCTCAAACCAGCCGATCAAAGCAGATGGCTGCTTGTCCTGAGCCTGGTTCTGCTGGAGGTTTGTTCCTTTTAAAAATGAGTTTTTCCTTTCCACTGTTGCGACTGTGCTTGCTCAGGATGGGAGACTGCAACAAAGCCAATATTCAACTTGTCTGCTGGCCTCCTTAAATAGAGAACTTTACTAAGTGGCTTTTCTGTATCTGAAAGTTTCTGTAAAGTGCCCTGAGACAACTTTGTTGTGATTTGGCGCTATATAAAATAAACTGAATTGAACTGAATTGAATAATTTTTTTTCTCAGGAACTCAACAGATGTTTAAAGCCACTTAGAGAGGTCAAGGTCAAGCGCTTCAGATATTTTTGCAAGGTGTTCCAGGAAACAGGAG